CCGCGAAGGGAGGAGGAAGCCTCAGCGCTGGGAGGCCATGACGAGCCCGGGTTTTGTAAGAGCAGGGCGATGGGCGGTTACTGCCCCGGAAGAGCATTCGCCCGCCCGCCCGCAAGTGCCGCTCTTGCGCTGGAAATCCGCGGTGCTCACCTCTGCCGGGCGCTTTTATGAGCGACTTAAAATGGAGCGATGCTTAATGGTTAAAATAAAAAGGAATCGTCTGTCTGTTAGGCAAGCGGTGGCGGTATCCTCACATTTTCAGGAGTGACTATGTTTAGATCCGTTTGTCACGATCCTGGCAATTATGGAGCGCTGTTGGTTTTGCTACACGTTTATGGTAGCTGTAATGAGCATGATGAGCATGGTTTTTACAGTCTGCTCAAATAGACATGTTGGAGAACTTCACCCGCTATTGCTGCGGGGGGAGATATTCCTCCCGTTGTTGGGATATTTTTTTTATGTATTTCCTGTTTCAGGACACATATTCCAAGTTTTATGTGATCTTTGATAGGCACCTTGATTTTTTTATTTTTTTAACTTAGAACAAAATGCTTACATAGAGACTTTACAAGTTTTCCCTTTCATAATAGTGAAACAGCAAATTTCAGGACAATAATAAACTGAAAGTGTGGTGAAACATCTGCCTCGGGTTCCGTTGAGTTAAATAAACCTTTACTGTGTTTGATGAGTCATTTTTCAAGAATAAAATATAAAACACGGCTATGTGTTTGTTTTGTCTCCCACAATACTTCTTTTCCACTTCTTATATAAGAGAACTTGTATACCTGAAAGTATATAGAAGATTCCAGACCTTCTTTTACAGCCGTCAAGTCATCAATGTTGATAATATAGCAATTTGGATGAAGTCAATTCCATTTATGTGCAATATAGAGAATTAGGTGTTTGCTTAACACGAATTCCTGATGCTCTTGTTTGCTGGTACTTTATAATCAGTCTCACCTCATGGTAAAACACACCGGCTTCGTCATCCGCTGGTCTAGCCAATGCCTAAAAGCATGAAAACTCCTCTTGCAGTGTATTTCACCGAAGTAGAGCCAAGATCTTCACATAAGCTGTTTTTTAAAAGGAAGGAAAAAATCTGGTTTTATAGCATATTAGCATTTTATCTTTAGATACAGGAAAGCTTTTTTTAAATTTTTGCAGGTAGTAATGTACTTTGTCAAGAAATCAGTCGTTTCACTGGAAAGACCCTATGGTCATTAAAATATATAAAGTCTGCCAACTTTTCTTTCATGCTTTCCATTTTCTTGAATGTTGTTCTGCAATCTAACTTCGTTCCACAGCCACTTGGAAACCTAGAAGTAAATTAAGAGTTCACCCTTACATCTTGAATATTAAAATCTATATTTTCATTAATTCTGGAACTTTAAAGTGCTAAAGGTGAGGTGCAAGTTTTCCAACTACTAATTTGACTCTATTCTAATACTGCCATAATTTTTCAGGTTCTTATGTTGCCTTTATGTCTATTTTTGTGACTGCTAGATTATGGGTATACGGAAAATGGCTTTGTGGATCAACCTTTGTACTGGATTTGAGATAACTGCCTTTTTTTGATTGTTAGAGAGATTAAAGCACTAAATAAGTAAGCTTTAAAAAGATTGCTAAACAATATTCTTTAGACATTTAAAGCAAAACAAAACAAAAAGCCAAACACAGAGATACCCGCCTGTTCACAAAGAGAAGGGCTGTTCATGTTAGAGATCCTTCATCCCCCGAGGATGTTGAGTTTGCCGTAAAAAGTTCAAGTAACTATGGTCTTAATTATCAATTTACCTGAAACCTACATGGTTTAAAATCGTGAGTGTAATAAAAGTGTCGGTGGTTTGTATTCATTATGGAAAAACTACAAGTAAGCAATACAAGATACAGGCTGTGTAAAATCCATCTTCCTATGTAAGAATATAAATGGTTATTTGATTTAATGACAACTTACAATAAATATGCTTCCATTACTGTTGACCTTTTTGAATTTATTGTAAGCTAATACTCTAAAGCACTTGTTCAGCTTCTCTTTCTCTGCTTTTTACTTCACTTTCGTTTCTTTTTAGCACCTCATACTCAGGAGAAACTTTCACTGACGCATTTTTGAAGTTTCAGCTGAGCAAAAAGACCCGAAGGAGGTTCAGTTCTCAATTTATAGCTTACTGTAGCCCTTATATTCTTTGCTGTTACACAGTTCAGATAGTTCAGTTAATCTTTCAATTAAGACCTTGTTCTTAAAAAGTCTCTTCCCTCCCCCAGTTGTGGGTTAACGCTTTATCGAGAATAAAGCTGTGATTCTTTTTCGATAATACATTTCAGTCTGTCTTATTCTAAAGAAGTCCCTATAGTATGTGTAATCGAGTTGGATTACATGCTACTTTTTAAAAGAATGCTTTTTGTTCCTTTTTCCCTGCTCTTGGCATTTGGACATAGTTATCTTTATTTTTCTGTCAAGTTCATACTTATCAGAATGAGGTATGCTAATCTTATATACCGTACTTTGCATTTACTTAGTACTTTCCATTTACAGATCTTAACTGAGTTTATAAAACATTAATGTGGAACAATGACTGTCCTTTCAGAAGTATTATTGAAACTTGGTTAAAGAGTTGGATTGATGCTTTTCGTAGCTTCACTACACTGAATTGGAAATTTGGAGAATGCAGCCTGGAGTGTCTGAATCCCAACCTTATGCACTTGCTGCAAAACCTAGTCAGATTATATCGTGTTTCAATTTTTCTTTAATTATTAAACTTCAGCAATTGTTGCCGTGTGTATATTAAACACAAGGACGTAAGGACGTCTGTCGGCAGTCCCTCTTGAAGCCTATGCCAATGTGCTTGCTCTCATAGAGGTCAGTATCAAATACTAAAGGGGGGGAGCATAAGGATAGGGCAGGCACACAGAAATAACTTTCTTGTTTCTAGCTTCCTAAACTAAAAATACTTGTATTTTTTACAGCTCTTAATGGACTACTTCTCTCAATTTGCTTAACAACTTCTGAACCAAACCTTTAGTTTCCACAATGTTCTTAAAGCAAGGAGTTAGACCATTTAATTGTACATTTCACGAGAAATTCCTTTATCTGTTTTAAACGTTTTACCTGGTGATTTAGTTTAATATCTCTGGCTCTTGCACATGAGAAACTGTAAATGATTTGTCTTCCCATTTTTAGGCAGTTTGTGGGTGCTTTTTTCTAATAGGTCTTTTTCCTATTTCTCTGCTGCCAGTCCTTTTACATTTTAACCATCTTCAGGTGGAAGAATCCTGGTCTCTTTAATCTTTCCTGATAAACAGGTGGAAAGCCACTGTAAACGTCTCCTCTGTTTTTTGTCCTTATCTAGTTCTGTGTGTTCTTTGTGAAAGGCGGAGACAAGCACTGCGCATAGCACGCACGGTACTGAGGTACAGTGTGGATTTATAGTGTAGAGTAATAACGTTTTCTGCTTGTTCTCTGTTCTGTTAGTAATGATTTTTAATGTTCTCTTTCTTTCTGCAAATACCACTGAACAGCGCGCGGCTGGTATTTCCTTAGAAATATATGTAGAAACTCCATAGGTGCTTATTTGCAGCTAACTTATGGCTTATCACTGTAAATAAATACTTCTGTTGGTTTTGTCCAGGTGCATTACTCTGTACTTAGCAGCACTATTTCTTCTGCTTTTTAATCATCTGGTCATGGAGTACTGCGAGATCCTTTGCAGCTAAGATTTGTCACCTCGCTGTTCATTTCCTCTTCCAGAAATTTTGTTAATGCATTGAACAGATTGATCTTTACATGTCTCTGGGACTCCTTTGGTCACTCCAGGCACTTTGAAAGCTGATCATTTACTTATTTCCTGTTCTCAGGCCGGTTAGTTATTCATGAGAAGCCCTCTTCCCATTTTAACCAAATGTAGCATTACTTCTTTAAAGAGTCTTTGAGAAAGATTGTCAAAAGCTTTTTGAAAATCCAAGTATGTCACAGCGTCCCTATGCTCTTTGAAGGTACCAAATTTTTCAGGCAGTATTTTATCTACAGATGCCACCTTAACACATCCCCGTTGTGTCGTATTTATCTAAGCGTCTGCGAACTCTGTTCTTCCTGGTTTGCATGGTACAAGGATCATCATGGTATCACAACTTTTCCCGTTAGTAGGAGTAGACTTACTGGCTTGTGCTACACTGGCTTTCCCCTGGGGCCTTAAGTTAGTGTCCCATTTGCCACCTCCCACTCCTCTGGTACTGAGACCACTTTAGGTGATAAGACCATAGTAACAGAGCAGCAATTTTGTAAGTAATTTTCTTTGCAACTCATAACTGAATACTATCTAATTTCAGCAATTTGTTTGAAATATGGGGGGTTTTGTTTCTGTTTTAAAGTCTCTTCTATTGTCATTTCATCTTGAGACACTTCTTTTGATTTGTCACCTCTTAAGATGTTTTGACATAAGCTCTTCTGTGACCTTACTGACAGAGAAGGGAGAAGGATCTGCTGGTGAATTTTTTTTAATTTAGTTTGTTTTTTTCCTAACTGTTTCTTGGGTTTCTCAGAGTGCCCTTTGCTATAATTTTATTTGTACAGTTCATTGCTTTTGTTTATCCATATTATCTTGTATATACTTCACAGGAACTTTGCAGTTCAGTATGTTCTTTGAACTTTCTCAAATTGTTAATTGGTGCTGTACTGAATATTTCTGTAACCCATTTAGGTCCTGCTCAGGTTCCAATGATGTCCCCAAATGGTTCAGTGCCTACTATTTATGTGCCTCCTGGATATGCCCCACAGGTATGTCCCTTCATTTGATTCTTATTTCTTTTAATGCAAATTATAGGAGTAGAACCAAAATAGCTAATTCAGTAAATTAATGTGTCAAGTTTCAGAGTCACTGTGGTTGAGCAAGTAAGTAAGGGGAGATGTACCGTAGTATCTCTGTGATGGGAGACTTCTGATGCTATATATGTGCCTGTTTAGTTATATATTAACTACTTACATAACAATAACAAGCACAGTTCCTTGTTGAGTTCAGGATCTTAATGTACTGGATGGCCTCTGAACAAAAAATACAATCACGACCCAGATAGTTCATTATGTAGGGCCTGTACTGAATTCTGGGTTAGTGGACGTTTTCTTTTGGCACCAATATAATTTTATATACGTACATAGTTCATGTCTGGAAAGTTCCCTGCAGATAAGGAGTAAAACAGATCAGTTAGAAAAAGTGTAGCAAACAACATGCAAAAAATGTCAGCTGTCCTTTGGGGATAAGTGTTTCCACAATTTATCTTAAAATGGGGCTCTGATTTTCTGTGCTGTGCGATTCCTAATTTAGATGCCTGAAAATTAAGTGTGAGCTAGATAACCTGGACATCCTTTAAAGTAGATTAAAAGCATGATTCCTCTTGGCTATTTTTGACACCTGTATTATAATGAGATGTGTAGCCTTCTAGATGGTGTCTCTTTCTTTCCCTCAACTATAGAACGAGCTTGGGGGTTAGTAGGTCAGACCTGGAAGTTAGAGCAGATGAATACCACTCTCCGTAACGTATGTCTTTCTCATGACGTTCTTTTGGTGTGACCAGTCTGCCTCTGACTCGGCGTGCACCTCATGGTGTACACAGAGAAGAGACTACAGCACGTAAAATGCAACAAAAAACCCCACAGTGTCCAGCAGCTGTTACACAAATTATCTGAACTGCATAAAAAATAGTCATCTAGCAAAAGAAAAAGGCTGTTAGGTTAGGCAGGCTAATGCTCCATGGTTTTACCTGTCATCTGTTGAAAGTTGGCTGATAGTTGATTCTTGCATCCTTCATAGTTGAGTTTCCAAACAGGCAGAAGAAAAACGAATTAAAAATAATCATGAAAATCCGTTTATCTTTAGGTCATAGTAAAAAGTCTTGATTCCTATTAGAATTAATTTTTAAAGAACTGAAAGAATTTTTGAGGTAAGTAAAACTCTAAATTTTACCGTATTTCTTGAGTACTTAATTTCAGTTGATGAAGTACTTAATGTTTAAAAAATTGCGTAACCTGTGCTAATCTGGATAATATTTGTAAAATGAATTTATCCTTCTTTTGAGGACAGCTTGCAGCAGACAGGCTGAAGGACTGGGCCTTGCTGGGGCATGCTCATTAGCCTTTCATGGGAGCTTGTTAGTGCAGGCAGGTGGTGTGCTTACACAGCGCTCTGACTTTTGAACTGAAGGTGCGTCGTATCTATCCAGCTCAGAGTACAGGTGGAATGAGCTCATGTCTGCTGTTTTTCATCTGAGTGGAAGTATCATAGTCCAGGAAAACCTGTAGTTCATAAGGCTTCTGAAGTATTTACTGCTGGCAAAACATACCAGCCGTTGTGGTTTATGATGGAAGTTCCTGTTAGAAGCCAGAAGATTTGATAGTAGTCTTGCAAACACAAAAGTCTAACACTATTGAGCTAAGAGTTATCCCAGGCTTACTGCAGTCCCAGCAAAGTAACTTAATGGTTTCTTCAGACATTGTATATTTTTAAATGTTAGCAGCTGCAGATATATTTTGAGAGCAACTGGAAACCAGCTAAATGTCTAAAGCCATCAGCCTGGAAAAACAACTTCAGCATAACCATCTTTTGTCTATCCATTTCCATTTAGTTCTATTATGTCTCTGCTTCCTTCAGTTCGTGTTTGGCAGTGATACAGTGTACTGTCCTCTGTTAGAAGTTGGGGATAACTACAGAATAAAGCATATTTATTTTTCTTATATCACATAAATAAAAAGCAATTCATAAGTTGATTTACTTTTCCCCTTCCTCTTCTTTTGGAACTATAGTTGTAAAACTCTGAAAGAAAGCACGCCTTTATTCATCCTCTCTAAGCTGTCTATATTCACTGTCTGTAGTGAGTTTTCCAGTGATGTTTGCTTGGTTCACTCAACCAAACAGTCCTATGCCAGAACTAAGTGTTTTGCTAGCACAATTAGGATAATAGATAGCTTGTTTACTTCTTTAAATTTAAAATTATATACTTGACATGATGCTCTTACTGCTTTTTGAAGGATTTTTATCTGTGTAGTTGCCTGGTAGAGGCCTACCGTTGAGTTGATGTTTGATTTAGAGGCACAGTTACAGACTTGTCAAACTCTTCATTTTAACACTGTTAAACTTAAGGTCCCTGCTGCTATGAATTAGGTATCTATTTCTGAGTTACTTAGGCTATTAGCAGACCCAAGAAAACACATAAATTATAAACTAAGTAGCCTGTTTTTCTTATGGAAGCTACTTCCTACGTAATCTGAATCTGCTCATAAATTCATGATAAATTGCAATTTTGTTTGTGTAAGCAAAGAGGACTTAAATAATTAAAACTATGTTTCAGTGTTTAGAGAATTTCATTGGACAGCAGAAGTTCTGGTCGCATTTACTGCTGTTAAAATATCCTGCCTTAAATACCACACAGCTATGGTTGCACTGATATGAAGAATGTTGTCTTTAGTGAAATTACTCTTTCCTAATAAGGGACAATTTATGTATACTGAAAATAGTCAGCCCTTTTTTTAAAGTCACACAGTATGTATGTATTTTAAAGCTGTGTTCACTTAGGCCGTTTATATTAATTTCCCGCTCTCTATGTAAGTAAGGTGGGAACAGCTCCACTGTGTACATACTTTTGTGTCTTCCGAATGTTATTGCATATGCATAGAGGTCTTCATTCTACCGTTACACTAGAAGCATACAGCTGTGTCTACCTAACTGTCTCAGTACAGTAGCGAAGTTTTGAAACAATTTCCTAGACCAACCTCACTTACCTTGCGTTGGTTCAGCTAGCAGGATGATTTTGGGGTGTGTAAATTAGATTGCTGTCAGAGAAAACAACAGCAGAAGCTCTGTTCCAGGTATACCAGATGCACACCAACCCCTAGTGAAGACATGGTAAAACCAATAATTGATTCTTCAAGCAGCTTTCTGCCATGGACTTGGTGGAAGTGTTCACACCAGGGCATGGGACTAAATCTAGCCAAGTCTAATACCCTTAAGCTTAAATAGTGGAGTTGAAAGCAGCTTGGCACTAAGTGCTTTGATCTATTGATCTGCTCCTGTTGCACCAGGTTCCTCATTGGTGTCCGTGTCCCCACCTCATTTCAAATGCCAGTGAAAACTTATGTCATAGGGTTGCCTTGTACACTGCTTTTGAATGTAGTCATGATATTCCAGATTCCTTTCTTCTTCTCCCCGTTTTCTGGATAAATGTTTCATCTGAAAACTTACATTGCAGTCCTTGCTGTGGCATTATTTTACAGCATTTTACTAGGAAGTGGAGAACAATTTATTCATTGGCATCCCAGACACTAAATTATTGACACCACGATACATACAAGTCAAATTATGTCAAGATAATCTCTAGATATTACCGACAGTCATGTATTTTTGTGAATTTACTGCTAGTGGTACAAACATCTAGAGAGGATCATGATGGCAGTCTTCCCTGTCTGTGATGTGCTTCAAGGGGGGGACCCCTGTTTCTGGTCTGGTTGATGACCAGCCCTCATTTAGTGAAGAGCATTTTCTGCTTCGGTACTGTGTGCCTTTGTGCCTGCTCTCCACCAGACCCCTACCTGCTATAGGCCCCAGACATGCTACGTGTACCATGAACAGCACACTTCAGCTCCCTGCATCTTATGTGACCACACTTACTCTCATCGTGGGATTGCATATGCTGCTTTTGTTTCTTTGAACCTCTAGCAACATTGCTAAGGGCTGCACTCGTGTCCCTCAGCAGAAGGCTGTCCTGTCACATCTCCTATTTGCCATTTTTGCACAACAAGCCTCTTAGCACACCAGAGTCTGGCAGAGGCTGCCACAAAGACCTCTGTTTTCTGAGTAGCGTGTGGCTTCCTCCAGGGTGCAAGACATTTTAGCGGCGGGGGGGGGGTTTTTTTTTAAAAAAATACTTTGAGTTGTGAAGGAGTCTTGAGAGGGCTGACTGCCATCCTGCTAGTTTTTTTGCTTTAACAGGTTGATGCAGAGGATGGCTGCTGTACGCCAACAGGTACAGTTAGTGCTGGTGGACTGAGTTGAGCACCAAGCAAAGATCAGACACTGTTGTGCGTTTTCTCTCACCAAATCACTTCTATGGAACAATCTCGTTGTTATACTGTCAAGCAGATCCTAGGAGCAGTGCAAGCAACGTGAACGAGGGTGGAAACAGGACCCTGGGGAAAAGCTAGGCTCGTGTCATAAATATACCCGGTTGTTTATAAGATGTTGTTACAGTCAAATTTTTTTAACAGTATTTTTACCTATCACGTTGCAAACTTAATGGCATTATTGCAGTTCATATGCTTAATGTAGATAGCCCTTTAATTGTCTTGTATTTTTTTTCTTGTGGTCTCCTGTTCTCCTTTTCTCAAATTTAAGGGTTCTACTGTTCCTAGTTTTGTTTAAGTATCTACAGAAACATACTTTTCAGACTGTCATTTCTCTTTTGGTGCATGGTCTCTCTCTCTCTGTACAGGTTATTGAGGATAACGGTGTTCGAAGGGTTATGGTGGTTCCCCAGGCTCCAGAATTTCATCCTGGTGGTCATACAGTGATACACAGGCCTCCACATCCCCCACTGCCTGGCTTCCTTCCTCTTCCAGCCATGATACCCCCTCCACCACGTCATATATACTCACCCGTGACCGGAGCTGGTGACATGGCAACGCAGTACATTCCACAGTATCACACCTCACAAGTATATGGAGATCTGGGTAAGTAGCTTACCGAATATTACAAGTTCTACCAAAGGAAATAGTGCTGCACTTATTTCCAGCATCTGTTATGCTGGTGTACGGGCTTTATCAAGGAAGACTTACAGCTTGAGTGGGAGCTATACACAAAAGTTTTACGAGGATACTAGTCTTGTTTTTACTGAAGCTTATCATTCCAGAAGAAATCCTTTTCATTAATTTGACTTGTCTATTCAGTGATCCATTAAACATACAGATTACCTCTTATGTGTATCAGTTACAGATTTGCCCAGGAGAGCAATGCAGAAAGTGCTTGTAGTGATTCAGTTGGTGCCTTCCCCTAAGATGAAACGTTTAAATCCATACCTGAGCACTGTTCTGAGATTTCATGTCTTGCAGGTGTCCTGTTTGAAGCATAACACAGGAGTTCTTAGTATTGATTATGACAAAAATTGCTATTTTTCATAAAACTGTATGCGTTTAGTCCAGTGTCCATATTGAAGTCCAACTTGAGTAATCAGGTGCTGCCAACCTAAACTTAATACTGTAGTGGAAGTTGGTTTTGGTAGTGCTATTGACATCTGCCTTTAATGCTGTTTAGTGCAAAGTGTATGTTTGTACTAACTGAGGCGTTGGATTCTTAGATTAATATTTACATTTCTGGTAGACTTGTTTTTCTTTAGATAAACTTCTGCTATAAAGCAGGTGCCAACCTTGAAAGACTTCCAGAGAGCAGTGCCAGGTTGCTGTATTTAGATAAAGAAGCTAGAAGTTATGGAGAGGGAGACTAAACATGGCTTTGTCATGTCGCTGTAGATGCATAGATTCTCAGTGTTCTGTAATACTACTAAAATAATCTAAAAATGTTCTCCATATAGTCACTGTGCTTAAATAGTCATGACGTACAAAGCCATCAGATAAGAATATTCTGATGTCTTGATCTTGCTGGACTTCTTAGTGTTTCTGTATTCTTAAGCTGTACTTTATTTCTTCCTTGCACTACTTTGATAACAGTACACTATTTGTTACTCTTTGGGTGCTTGTTTATAGTTTTATTAATTTCTTGGTTTCCTGTAGATGGCAGTTGTTTGCTTTTAGTTTGCTAAATTAAGAGATTGGAGTATGATAATTAAATGCATAAAAGAATACTTCTTGATGGAATAATATTTTTTTAGATTTCTGCTGCTAGGTTGATCAGTGATGATTTGCTAAACTGCTAATGTAAAAAAAATTGATGAAGTGGGATTCTTTGGTTTCACTTTGTTTTAAATACATATGTAAGATGCCTTTGGATTTAGAGAATTAGAGGACTAAGGATGCTTTAATTTGTTAAATATTTGCTACAGGTTTCATATTTAATTCTGGATCACTGACTTTGGCTATGGCTTTCAGAAGTCAAAGCCCACAGTTAGGCTCCTATATGTGTAATCTGAATTTAAGGGGAGAAAAAACCCAGAAGCACTTAGAGCATGGTAGTTCTCTAACAAGAGCACCTAAATCTCTAATGGTAGAAAAAATCAAATTTCTAAATAGTCACAGCTGATCTAGTAGTACTCTGTCAAATTTTCTGGGAATTAAGCTGACCTAAAAAAAACAGAACCTGAAAAGTTCTCTAGTTTTGTGATTTTATCTTTCTTGCAAGGAAGTTTTTATTTGATCTTGTTTTCTATACTTCCTAGCACATAAGGAATGACAAATAATGAACTTTATTCTTCAGACTGAGTGATCCAACTTACCTGAAAATGGAAAAATTCTATGCTGGTTTTGAAGGATGCATTTTTTTGAAAGCTTTCATCATTTATCATAGATAGGGTTACACTAAGGAAAGAGTTGGTGTCCTGTGGTACACTGTTTTAAAGTCTTGAGTCAGTAAGCTGTTTCTAAGCGTAAAGGTGAAATGGATAAAAATGTTAGAATTGGAGAGAAAAGTTCACCAATCTGCAGTTTAATTTTTTTCATTAGTCTGGTGCTGACTTTTCCAAAGCCATGTTCTGACTTAGAGATGGGACTTCGGTAATCCTGCAGCAATGCCTCAGGTTACTGTGTACAGGTATAGTGTACTTAACAAGAGTTATTCAGTTGCCCTATGCTTTTGTGGGATTTTTCTCTGTTGATTTCTGCTGAAGCACCGTTGAAGTAATAGAGCTGTAGTTGCATTCCAAAACTTAAAACTTATGTATTTTTTATTGAGCATTAGTGCAAACCTATTCCTATGTAATGAAGTAGCACGTTTTTTCTGTGTTGACTTTATCCTGTACCTTACAGCTCAAGGAAGATTATAGAAACATTTTACGAATAATTTTTTGGTAGAAAAAAGATGTGGGAAGGAAAGATTACACTTTCTTCTCTGACATGTTGTTCATGTCCAGTTGGTGTATGTTAGTTTACCTGCTGGACACTTCAGTTTTCCAATAGGAGTAGAGATGCAGTTTTACACACTTAGCACATAACATTTTTAATAGATTTTTAATCACATTCTGTTCTTAGTGATTATTTTTAATTTTTTTCTTCTTTACTTTCATTTAGATACTCTGCCTGCTCATGGAAGATCCAACTTTAGAGACGAAAGGTCTAGTAAAACATATGAAAGGTTACAAAAAAAATTAAAAGATCGACATGGAACTCAGAAGGATAAGTTAAACAGTCCTCCATCGTCTCCTCAGAAATGTCCTTCTCCAACAAGTGAACATAATGGACTTACAAAAGGACAGGATGCAGCTGGTATAAGCACAGCTTCTACCAAAAGCAAGTCTTTGGGTAAAGGAAAAAGCAATTCTCAGACAGACACATATATATATATATATGCAAGTCCAGTGTCTGGCTGAGTATAGCATTTGTAGATAGAACACCACACTTTGACAATCTTGAAGTTGAGTAGTAGCCCATAACTGCCCTGACTTACATAGAATGGAGTTAAGGGCAATTGACCCGCTCCTCATATTGCAATGATGGGCCTAAGAGAACAAAACTACTGACATGCAAGTCTCCATGTAGATTTGAGCAAATCTTATTAGTCATACTTCCTAACACTGTTTAAAGAAAAATCTGTGCTTTGTCCAGAGTTATTGGTGCTTACATTTTGAGGAATCACTGAATATTGATGGCCTGCTTGATATTGCAGAAAACGTGGAAGGAACTAGGTGTCTGATACAGGAAACCTACATTCAACTTGTTAGAGAGGAATATTTTTTAAAAGAGATACTGCTGTTATATGAAATTCCCATAACGCCTGTCCCTACCAACTCATTATTGAAAGGCCTTTGTAGAAAAAGACTGGTCTTCACACTAGTCCATGTGAGTTCACATTTTCTAAGACACTACCGTAGGGAGTGTGTTTATTATTAATACCTTTATTTCACCAGAAAGCTTGTGATCTCATAAATGGACTGAATTCATTCAGTCTTGGTCATACAGTTGTCGTTGAATCTGATGATGTGTCACTATGCAACTTTTAGGTCACTGGCATAGCACTTCAGATTCAGAACACAACATCAAAGACTTGTCATCAGCCAAGTACAATTTTCTCAGAATAGGCAGTTTAAACTAGTGATGCTGAGGGAAATAAACCATGATTTTCTCAACTCATTGCAGTTTGCTTTGAGGTGATGATTTTGTGCCAATGTATATTAGATAGCTGTAGACCAAAAGGAATGTGAAGACAATATGTCTAACTAAGACCAGGAAATCTCAACCTAAAAGAGCTGTTTAAAAACATGTGTACATGATACCCTGTGAAAGCTTAGTACCAAGGGACACCTTTGAGATAAAACCTGAATTCAGAAGTTGGGAACTGTTGCTTCAAACTTGGAATGAATACTTGTCACTGTAGTTCCAGAGTGGCATTTGTCTTGGCTTCAGTTTACTTTCTGTTAGTTGGTATTTATCTGTGAGCTGACTTTACCAAGGCACAGGTGATAAAATGCACTGTTGCTTACATATGTTATGAAAATTATGTTAATGGTTCCTTAGAAGTATTTTGTATGAAAAATGGAAAAGTCCACTTTTCAGAATTATTTATTTCAGGAGACATTTTGGAGAATTATATACTGTGACTTAGACTTGTGATAACAAGCAGAAGTCAGAAATGCATTTAATTAGCTATAAACTTAGAAATATAAAGTTGTAAATAGATTTGACATGTTTTTTAAAGAATTTTATCAGGTTTTGTTTTTCTTTTAATTTTAGTTTAAGGCGGGTTAAGTGAATTAAAAATGCCTGGCCACACCTTCAAAACTGAGTAGCCTGTTCACTTACGTTATTGAGATAATAAAATTTTAATATTGGGTGAGAGAAAGCACATAAAACACTTCCTATGAGACTTACCGAGTCCTCTGTTAAGCTCAGCTATACCTTCAGCTGAAACAAAACACCTTAGATTCTTTCCCTGAGATGTAACTGAAGGCTTAAGCTAAGGTTTGCCCTTGCATTTGAGGGAGGCCGACGGTGTTACCAGTAGTCCTCCGCCTGGTGTGCCATAACATATCTAAAGTACTGTAACTTGACTGCATCTATATCCAAAGAGAAATCTATAGGAGATATCTCAGCCAACAGCTTAAGTTTTCCAGAGCAGTAGTTTGTTTAAAGTTATACATTAATAAAAGATAACCAGGCTTTTTGTATTCCATTAAATAACAGATTTAGAAATAGTGTTATATGAACAACTTCTTTGGAGCTTTTTTGGGTTTATGTTGCTCTAGATGAATGCAAGTTGGTAAGGTGTTCTGTTTTATACGTACTTCAGTGTACGCGCAGTTGTTGAATTTGAAGAGCTGTTTCACTGTAAAGTCACTGAACAATATTCATGGCTACTTTTTGTTTGCTTTGATTTTGTTTTTTAAGAAAAGGATGAAGAAACAAAAGCACTTGAAGCACTTCTTTCTAATATAGCCAAGCCAGTGGTAAGTAAATGAAGCTTTCCACAAAATCAGAATGTATCTGTTGCTAGTTTATACAGTTACACCTCTTTTTCTCTCTCCAAATTTAAAGGATCTTTAACTTCCTGCACTAAAGAAAACTCGCTTAACTTCCAATCACTGAAATGTAAATGACCAAAGTAACTTTTAGTATATTAACATTTATGAAGCTAAAATTGTCTTGATACTTATTATGTGGAATTCTTCTTCTTGGCCACTCTGTGAAATCTCAGTATTAACAGAATTATAAAAAATATATAGAGAAAGAGCTTGTAACATTGCCAGTAACAGAATGATGATGCTTAACGTAAGATGATGCTTAACATCATCTCTTACTGTAAAATCTGTTCTCAATTTCCTGTAACATTGTTTAGTTTTAACTGTTCAGGAAACAATTTTACACATTGGGTATCTGTAGGCATGAAAGATACCTGGTGAGGTTTTGGAAAATCTTGTTTGAAAAGTAAAGAAAAACTACGGCGGATTTCTCTTTAAGAATCTCTGGCACCTCCAGGGAAGAGACATAAAATTCACCAAGGAAGGTGACTGTCAGCAGTGGGCTTCTGACTTTTCTGCTTGAAAATCTACCAATTTTTTTTCAGTTTGTAAAACCTCATAACTTCTGCGTAGAGACTCTTCAAAGCACTGTTGCCAAATTTAGCAGTTCCTTGAATTTTAGAACAGGCCTGTGTTCTTTTCTTTCATCATCTGGACCTTCCCTGCTCCTAACCTTTCTGTGAGGATTGACACAGCTTTTCCAGAAATCTGCACCCCAATCCTCAGTCCGCCAGCTTGCTTGAGTAAAAACAGCCTGTGTTCCCTATTGTAAACTACAAAAAGTCCATGCAACTGAAACTCCAGGAGGAGCTTGCCGTGAATTTGTCCAGTCAGCTATTTCCTCCATAATCAGGCACCCTGCTTTTCATACTTTGTCAGTCCTCAGCTTACCACACCACACATGTGTACGTGCGCACACACACACGCGCGCTTCACATAACTAATAAAGAAAGCTATGGAAGGAAGGACATACAGAGAAAAGAAGATGAAGAAGGAAAAAGGGTCAGATGGAATAATCATGGGACTTCCAGTGTTGCCATTCATCAGCTACATACCTTCTCCCCTTTACATCCCAGGCAACCTGGCTCCAGTTTTAGTGCCCCAGTCTTGATTCTTCTTTCATATGTTGCCTTACAGCCTGGTGAGGAGAGTCTGAGAGAGTTGGGACTATTTAGCCTGGAGAAGAGAAGACTCAGGGTGGGTCTTATCAATGTATATAGATACCTGCAGGGGAGTGCAAAGAGCGTGGAGCCAGGCTCTTTTCAGCGTGCCCAGCGTCAGGACCAGAGGCAAAGCTGAAACGCAGGACGTTCCCTCTGAACACTTTTTTACTCTGAGGACTAATGAGCACTGGCACAGGTTGCCCAGAGAGTTTGTGAAGACTCCCTCTTTGGAGATATCGAAAAGCTGTCTGGACGTGATTCTGGGCAGCTGGCTTTAGGTGACCCTGCTTGAGCAAGGGGGGTGGACCAGATGACTTCCAGGGGTCCCTTTCCACCTCAACCATCCTGTGATTCAGTGGTGCTCCAAGGGCTGAGCAGGGATTGTAATTACAGAGGAAGTCCTGAATGCTTAGCATCCTGCTGTGTCCAAGCATCAGAACGGGTTAACATGTCTGTGGTACCCCTGTGTCTTTGGTGGCTAAGCAGCATGGAGGTGGAAGCTGTCTGAATCAAATCCTGTAAGAAAGGGTTGAGAGAGCTGAGATGAAGAAATGGAGAGGAGTTAGCTGATCCTGGCTGTTGCTGTGGTGTAGATAGTAGCTGGGACAGTCAAGTTCAGTAGCTCTTAACAGGATGACCTTGGTGATTGGAGCTAGTGGAGGGGCAATAAAAAGAATTTTTGGATAAGAAACTGGGACTGAAAAGAAAGCTTAGGGAGATAAGGTGTGGGGGAGAAAGGAAGTGAGAGGAGAAGAAACAGCTCTGACAAGGAGCACAGGTCTGAAGGACAATGCAGACTTGAGGGATCCTAAAATAGATGAGGAGTCGAAGATGAGAAAATGAGACCAGGAACAAACAGAAAGTACGTGTGAACTATTGGAAGAACAAGATGGAGAGCAAGTAGCTTTTCTGTTTGTTATTTTTACAAGCAGACTGATAATGAAAGGGTGATGGGAGCCTGAATGTCTTGTTAGTAAGACTGAGAGTGGTGGGTATAGTGGACAGTAGTAGCAAGAGACTGAAACTGCCTGAGAAAGATGAAGATTCATGAGACAAGGATACCAGAACTTTATTGAGAGACTAAAGGGCTGAAGTCTGGGGTGGAGTAACCAAGGAGTACAGACTGGAATGAAGAAGAGTTGATTAGGACCAGACCTTGAGAAGCTGGAGAAAAAGAGTCAGAAGGGATTATGGCTGTAAGAAATGAATATAAGTCCACATCTGATAGCACTGATTTTTATCCAGGACCTGGAATGTAATCCAGCTTTCCCGCATCTCATCTTTCTTCTGACAGCAAGTACCTGCAAGGTCTTACCAGCAGAGGTTTTGCGTTGCTGCCTGTTGTTTCACTGCCCAGCTATGCATCTCACCTCCACGGATGTTAGCAAACACCTATTGCTATCACTCTGTTTGATCAAGCAGTAGAGGCTTGTGCAGTGGATCTAAAGGCTGCAGGTTTGCTGTAGGATGATGCTAGAAAGAATTTAAGGGAGTCATTTGCTATTCAAATATATATATATAAAAAATAGAAATCATACATATACACACACATATTCTAGGAAAATATGCATCAAAATACTGTTAGAAGAATTCTATTCCTTTCTCAAAGTGAAGCAAGAAAGATTTCCTACTAAGGCTCATCCATTGTATTCAAGATTACAGTCGCCTTTTGTTTTTGTTGTTTGTTTGTGTTTAACACAGCAACACGCTGTTCTTTCTGTATGGTCCTTGCCATTCACTGTACAAAACATACCTGCTTGGGGAATGGATCAGGGCTGTGCAGCTAAAGGGACTGGTGTCTTTGACCCCTTTTGGCTCTGAGTCAGGAGAGTCTGTCTCAACAAGGGAACATGTGCCTAGTTTAGCCACATACTGCATCAGAATGGTTATAGAAACAAACTTTGCTGCAAAGTTAGCTTACTGCAAGATAGTGCTGTTGCTGGGGCATGCTGGACAACAGCGTTCTCAGCTGCCCTCAGATCCTGAGTGCCTGCTATGCCTTTCTTAATTTTGTGAGAATGTGGATGATCCTTTCTATCCTGACTAGAAGTAAGGGGACCAGTTCTCTTAGATGTATTCGCAGTCCTCTGCCAGTGGTCAGGGCATACAGGATGCCATCCGCATCTGGGGTGTCATCAGTGGCTGCATTGCCAAGGGGAATGACAACTCTGAGCTTCCTGGGGTGGTTAGACTGAGACTGTGAGAAGTGTGACAAACAGGCGGTGTCTTCTGCTGTGTTGCTAATGACATACGAAAAAGCAATGGAATGCCAGTACTGTCTTGTTTTCTTTCACTTCCTTCCATCCTCAACACTCAACCGTCCATGCCTTTTAGGCAAGCATGCTATTTCCCCTCCCAGCCATGTCCTTACTTTGAACATCATTGCATGTAGCTGTGTGCCTACAAGTGATCTCTTTGCAGACTTCAGAAGACATCGCAGGCTTAGGCAGTAGCAGTCTGCTACACAAGGCAAAAAGCCAAACTTCCAGCAATTGGAGAAGCTTATGCTTTGTGAAGGCAAGGGACTGTCAGGGTTGTGGGTGGGTGGCAGACTAGGTGATGTTGCAGCTTGGGGGAGTGTGATGTGATAAGAGAAAGGGAGGCTGTGTTACCTACTTAGGCCTTGCGGGATCAGAAGCAACCCTCCCACGGTTTCTCCAAGGAAACATTTTCTTCACCCTCCCACAAGTGAACCAGGAGATTGTGTTTTTTCACACCTTCTGTTTGTAGTTCTCATCAGAAATATTTCTCCAGGTTTTTGATTAATGTTTTGCTTGAAGCACTGACTGTGGGGATCGTGCCATGATGCTGCTCTTGATCATCAACACCCTGTTCCCTGGTTGAACTGCAGTGCTGGCACAGGCAATACTGGATACTGGCTGCAGTGGGGGTCATCTGATCAGATGCTCGTACAGGTGCTGTCCAGTACAGTGTCCGTTGCACCATATCCTGCTACGGAAAGCCCAGAGTAGTGCCGAAGGCTGTGACCTGTCCTGGGCTGTCCCATGTCTTAATGCCCAGGTCCAGGGCGTGAACATCTAAATCAGGTGGTGGGCTCCATGCTGTGCTTTCATTCGCACATCTCTCAGTTCTGTGCAGTATGGGGCACATCAGCTTTGCTGCCTCCAGACTTACATTAGGTGTTTTTATGAACACGTTCTCATTTTCTTAAACTTTTTCCTGTATGGATCCTCCATCCTTTCATACGTGGCAGTGTTAAGTCAAGTTGGTAACGTGGTACTGCCACCAGATTACCCTTCTACTTAGGGAGGGCTTGAACTTTCTGTACCCAGATGTAAGTTGGAGTGGTTCTGCACATTGCACCATGCTGAGTCCTCAGCATTTGAGCAGAGTCTTCACCAGCTGTCATGTCCATTAACCAGATAGCAAAGCAAGCAGAAGAGAAGACAAGGGGACCTAAGGCAAAAGCAAAATGAAAAATGGAGCAGAAGGCTGAGTGTTTAATAAAGAGAGGCAATAGGAACTCGGAATTTGAGAGTTAGTTATATAGCATATAAATCCCTTGGGAGAGCATCATGTTTGGTGGTTCATGCATGTTCTGTGTATGCTTGCGGGCTTTTGTAATGTGATGCACCTCACTCACCAGTCAAGTACCTTGTGTCACTGTCTGAATGCAATCCAGTTTTCACATGCTAATACTGCTTTTTTGTTTGACTCAAATGGCATGTGTAATATAGTTAGTGAGGAGATTCACTTTTGCAAGCTAGACTGCTAATGAAGACATGCCCATCTCTTAGTTTCTCT